ACTTTTCCTGCCGGCCTCTTCCTCGGGGTGCGGGAGCGTTCCCGGGCGGCAGCCGGTGTTTGGGAGTGTTTTGTGCGTTTGAAAGCAATGGAAACCACTCGGTTTGGTGGCCGGCGCTTGGGGCTTGGGGGAGAGCGGGACCACGGGCCAGAGGCACCCTGCTGTGGGTGCCGCTTCTTCTGCGGAGCCCTCGTTCCGCGCTGCGAAGCGGAGCCCGACGCAAACCCCGAGTTTCCCCGGGGGCCGCGCCGTGCTGCTGCCGGTCCCTTGACGGCCGGTTCGTTTATTATTAGGGCTCCGGATTTCTGCCTAAATAACGCGAACCCCCGCCCACCCTGGGGCCGGCTCCGGCCCCGCAACCATCGTCCGGCTCGTAAAGGGAAAGCGGACTGGGAGCCCAGAAAACATTTTTCCCCTTCATTTCAAAGGAGGAAACCTGAGCGATTCTCATCCTTTTGATTGATTAAGGTCTTGAATAACTTGAAGCTCGGGAGTGACAGTTCCTGAATAGACGATTGCAAATAAAGAGCCCTGTGGAAAGCCGGGCTGGCACTTCGGAGTGTAAAGGAGGCGAGTTTGCTGGCACTTACCAAGTTATAAATAAAAGGCCGTGCACAATGGTACCTTCTCTAAGGACAGACAGTCTTTACAACACTCCTGGCGTCATATCCTGCTGTGGGCACTCCAGCTCCGAGGCAGACTTTACCTCTTTTATTTTTCCAGCAGTTTAGTTTGAATACTACAATAAATTCCTGGGAACAAACGCTTGTTAGTAAGACTTTAACATGCACCGCCTCGCACCCATGCACATATAAACGCTCACGCACACGCGTGAAACGCAGGGATATTCTTGTGCCATCAGTTTTTAAAGGCAGACATCCCCACGAAGATCTCACTGGCAGCTCTTCCTCTCCAAACAGTGAGCACCATTTGTTCCAGAGATGTTTCTTCTGGACGGAGAGAGATTTCGAGTCAAAGTAAATAAGAAAAAGGAAAGAATAAAACAAGAAGTATTTTTTTCTTTAAAATTAAAAATGTTGTTGCCCCCACCCCGCCGCTGATGCTCGGGGAGCGGAGCCAGGAGACGAAACGCTTCGTGGCAGTCAGGCGGGTGTTGTCCCGCGGAGTCCCGCAGTGACACAAGGTCCTGAGGGGTGCGATGTCCAGGCCGGCCCGGTCGGTGTTTCTCTCCCGGGGCTGAGGCGGCCGTCGGGGAACCGAGTAGA